AATTTTACATTTTTCTTAGACACAATATTTTACGTTTTGTATGTTTATTATATTTTTTAAATGTAAGTTTCGTATTCAATCGAATTATATAAATATTTAGAGTTCTACAATCGGCGTAGACATCCGCTACGCTCGCGGCGCGCTTTCTTACTGACGCGTAGCGCTGTGCTACGACATTCTAGGTGAGTATACACACATTGGTATAATAATTTCCAACGCATTTTATTAAATTTCATGTGATAAGAATAGCTAAGCATTGCCTTACGTAGGTGTCTTGGTGGTACGATTTTAAAGTTTTATTACGTCCAAGACTAATATTAATTATGCTTTTAATTAGTAGTATTTGATTTATTGTCGAAAGCTCTCGTATTTTATATTCCCTTTTAACGTCATTATTCTCGAAAAATAATGCATGTTTTTGTTGGGCTGCTCAGTCCAGATAAATTAGAGAGAGCAGTCTTAAAAAGAAAAACCTTAATTATAGTAAACTATATTATTTTTTTCCTCTCTGTTGGCCATGAAAACTAATAGCATTTTTTTGTATTGTTTGATTTAATTGGAATTTAATTTACCTAACTAGTACATAGTGATGTAGCTTTTATGAAATAATGCTCTAACTAAATCATCATCATCATTATCATTACAGCACTTCACAAGTTCACTGCTGAACATAGGCCTCTCCTAAGGAATGTTACAAAACACGGTCCTGAGCCACCTGCATACATCGATTTCCTGCACGTCTTACCAGGTCATCACTTCATCTAGTGGGGGGACGCCCTACACTTCTATGAGTCTGCCACTCGATAATCTTTATTCCCCATCGGTTGTAGGTTCTTCGAGATATATGGCCAGCCCACTGCCACTTCAGCTTACTAATCCGATGGGCTATGCCGGTCACTCCGTGTGCCGTGTAGTGGCGGTCAAGAATATCCACTACCCCATATCTTCCCGTGGGTGTCGTAAAAGGCGATAAAGGGAAACAGGCAGAAGATGGGCATCAGCATCTTCCTGATAACAACAAACTTACAATAAAAAAAACTGCGGTTGCCAACCCGCTCGCCAAGCGTGGCAACTATGGCAAATACCCTCCTATGATGAGAGTAACAAAGAAACGGCCCCCAGTCCCCGGCGGCTCCGCTATTCCTGGCTACGGTGACGAACATGGTAACGGCGAGGCAGGGGGTGTTAAGAATCTCCAGTTAAGGTTCGGTTGCCACCTAAGACGACTCGACCTGGCAACATACAACGCACGCACCCTGAGGACTGACGAGAAGATTGTGGAGCTGGAAGAAGAGATAGACAAGTTAAGCAGGCATATTATAGGATTATCCGAAGTCCGAAGAGAGGGGGAGGACACGGTAATCCCCGAAACCGGCAACTTGCTCTATCACCGGGAGGGCGACCATCTGTCCCAAGGAGGTGTTGGATTTATCGTCCACAAGTCTCTCGTTAACAACGTTGTAAAGATTGAGCGTGTGTCGACGAGGGTTGCGACTCAGAATTACCAAACGGTATTCTCTGAAGGTCATACAGGTTTACTCACCAACCTCGGCACACCCCGATAAGGAGGCGGAGGAAATGTATGAGGATATCTTTAGAGCCATGCATTCCCCCAAAACCCAATATACGGTGTTAATGGGAGACTTCAATGCAAAACTAGACACAAGAGAGAACGGTGAGCTGAAGGTAGGGAAATTTGGAATAGGGCAACTGAACCCAAGGGGCCAGCAGCTGGCCGACTTCATGGAGAAAGAGGGACTCTTTATGATGAACTCTTTCTTCCAGAAGCAGCCCCACAGGAAGTGGACCTGGTCGAGCCCCGACGGTTCCACAAAAAATGATTAACTTCATTATGACGACGAGACGACAATTGTTCAATGATATCTATGTAATCGCGAGGGTGAAAACTAGTAGCGATCACCGAATGGTTAGAGGCACAATGAACCTAAACGTCAAGTTGGAGAGGTCTCGTCTAATAAAGTCAACGCTCCGTCCCCCTCGTGCTCCGAGCCAAATTCCCGAAACTTTTCAGCTCGAATTACAAAACCGTTTTCAGTGCCTAGAAGACTGGAATGAAGTGTACGATATGAATGACAAGCTCGTGGAAACTGTCCATGCGGTCGGAGCTAAGTTCTGCAAGACCCGCCGCAGAATGGCACAAAAACTCTCCGATCACACTCTCAATCTCATGGCTGTTAGACGGGAGATGAAGCTATATTCTTCAACAGATTTGAAAGTATACAGGCAACTGAACAGACAGATCTCCAAATGCATGCGGCGGGACTTACGCAACTTCAATACAGCTTGTATTAAAGAAGCGATCGAGCGGAACCAAGGCTCCAAAATCTTTGCCAGAGATCTGTCTGCCAGAAAGAGCCAACTGTCAAAGCTGAAGACCGAGTGTTGCAGCATCCTTTCCGGGGTACCTGAGATTTTGAGTGAGATTGAAAGGTTCTATGGGCAGTTTTACACGTCATAGTTGGAGCCACACGCAAATGTGAGTTACTATCCAAGAGCGAGTCTTATCCGACACTATTCGGAAGATATCCCGGACGTCAGTCTGAGCGAGATTAGAATGGCTCTCCAGCACCTTAACAACAGCAAAGCCTCAGGCGAGGATGGAATTACAGCGGAGTGGAGCACTAAGCTCGAAGTTGTTGATGAGTAGGTTTACCTGGGACAAATAGTCCGACTAGGTAATTCCAACTTCGACCGAGAGGCCAATCGACGGATTCAACTCGGCTGGGCAGCGTTCGGGAAACTACGACACATCTTCTCGTCAGACATACCTCAAAACCTTAAAACGAAATTGTACAATCAGTGCCTGTTGCCAGTGATGACTTACGGATCTGAGACGTGTTCCTTCACTGCTGGCCGTACGAGGAAGCTCAAGGTTGCTCAGCAAGCTATGGAGAGGGCTATGCTCGGGGTTTCTCTACCTGATAAACTGAGCTGAAGTGGCAGTAGGCCGGCCATATAGCTCGAAGAACCGACAACCGATGGGGAAAAAAGGTGCTTGTGTAGCAGCCTCGTACCGGTAGGCGAAGTGTGGGGCGACCCCCCACGAGATGGAGTGACGACCTGGTAAGACATGCAGGAAGACGATGGATGCAGGTGGCTCAGGACCGTGCCTTGTGGCATTCCTTGGGGGAAGCATATGTTCAGCAGTGGACTTATGAAAGTTTGTAATGATGATGATGATGATGATGCCGATCACTGGTTTTGCGGATATCCTCGTTTTTAAGTTTATCACGCAGAGAAATCCCGAGCATAGGCCTCTCTCATAGACAATTTGTCTCAGGTAAACATACTCATAAACAACTTCGAGCATAGTGCACTTAACAACAACTGACAAAGATGTAACATGGACGTTACACATGACTTTCGTTTAGTCCATGTTCATCTTAAGCGGTGTGGAGGTGTTGGCAGTAGCGGTGCTGGGATTAGTGGTGACGGGGATAGTGCAAGCAATTGAGGGAGGGCGGGAGGTGCTCTCCATGCTGGGTGGGACACATCATTTTATTTTATTTTTTTAAAAGCTTTTATATAACGGATTTCCGCAAAGTAACGCTTGATTCTATTAATTATGTGATCATAATTTGTCTAGTAACCAACAGGACAGCAGTAACGAAATCGTTAGTTGAGGAAGCTTTGCCTGGCTTCTTCCGATCCCAAGACATTGTTGTAGGGCTAACCTGAACCTAAACTTAAACCCAAAACTCATATCTACACGCAGGTCAATAATATTAACCCATAAACACAACGAACGGCACACTCAAAGCCCCACTCACTTACATCCCACAAGTGCGCTCCTTATCCTTATTGTATTTGTACTTTCTTTTCTTTTATTTTGTTTCCAATTACATACACTGTATAATGTTAAGCGGAAGAGCGGAGTTACCTAACACAAGCATCTCTTTGCTTAAAAGGTGGTCTCCAAACCCTATATCTTAAAGCTTTATGTAATTGCAATATAAATTTTAATTTTTTATTTATTTTTATTTTATCTTAAGACCTATCCGTTGTGTGACACGATTGAGAAAATTGAGCATAGTGCTTAGGTCCTACAGCCATAAGCCATAAGGACTATATCGTCGGCAAATCTAAGGTAAGTGGTTTACTCGCCATTGACATTAATACCGTATCATTTCCAGTTCAGTAGCATGAAGACGTCTACAGCGGTGAAGAGTTTCAGGGATATTATGTCATAATATCTTACACCTCTCTGCAGAAGGTAAATCGGTCTGTAGTTCTTCAATACAGCGTTGTCGCCTCCAGAGTAATGCCACCATGAAGGACGGAATGAAAGAGCTTCTGAAGCACTTCAAGTATTGGTTATTTCACCCTCTCCGCTATGATTGGAATATATTGATGTATATTATAGTGGATACAAACACTCCTCTATATATTATTTTTAGGCTTGGGTATCGGACACCCCATGATGATGTCGATACGCAAGTCATCTTGCCAAATCCCTTGATCGCTCTTTCAAAAATATCGGACGCATGTTGCACAAACGGTAGTCCTGAGTCCAATACCACACCTAGAACCTTAGCTTTAGTTACAGTCTTTAAAGATTCTCCACCAAGTTTAATAACGGGGGGGCGCTGAAATTTCCCTCTAATAGTCATGGTAGTCGACTTTGATGAGGAATACTCCAGTCGATTCCTTAGCCCCCACTCCCGTACAAGGTCCAAAGTGACTCTGGCCCTGGATTCGATACCCGCTCTGGTATCAGATTCAATCAAGGTTGTAACATCATCAGCATAGGCAGTCATGGCTACTCCCTCAGGCAGAGGGAGATGGAGTCTGTCGTCCATCAGTACGTTCCACAGTGTAGGGCCCAGCACAGAGCCTTGAGGACATCCCATGATCGCCGTTATCCACTTTACCCGGTCCCCGATGTAGAGGCCCACACGTCTGGAGTTGAAGTAGTCCACCAGCATTTTATAAATGTTGGGTAGACAACCACCTCGTTTTGCTTTGACCATCGTTATCGGCTACCAGGCATTGTCGAAGGCGCCGGAGATATCCAGAAAGATTGTCTGCACGTAGCATGCTCGAGAATACCTAGCCGTGCTGAGCATGACACGCAGCGCTGTTACCGTAGATCGCCCCGGAGAGAAACCGTGCTGGTGCTCAGATATCCCACGACTAATCGCAGGAGCACATCTTAACATTAGGCGTTCCAATACTTTTCCCAAAACAGGGAGGAGCGTTATCGGAAGGTATGCCTTGGCATCGGTGAGCGGCTTGTCATTACCCTTGGGAATGACAATCAGTCTTCCGTCCTTCCATACCTTGGAGAAGACCCTCTCCACCATGCACTTGGCGTACAACGAGTGAAATTCCCTCGGTGCTGCCATCCAAACATTCTTCACGATTCTCGCACTCACTCCATCGAGTCCCGGAGCTGTGTTAGGCAAGGCTTTGACTTTTACTTCCAGATCCCCAACCGCAGGCGGAGACGCAGCTCTACCAGACGGCATGAAAACCGCCAGTAGGCGAACCTGCTGATGGTATGGCATATCGTTATCAGGTCTGTCATCCGGACAGAGCGCAGTCATTAGGTTGACCATCGCTGCCTCGATATTGTCCGGGTGCCCACCCGCAAAGGCGATCCCATTGAACACGTTTGCAGGCGGTCGTACCCTCCCGCTGGACACCCCGTACGCCATACCCCATGGGTCCTCGTTACCAGAGTTGGCAAGCCTTAAATGAAGCGACTGCTGTGCCTCCACCATCATCTTCCAGTATCTCGCACGCACGCTGTGGAAAGCCTTCCTGGCTATCTCCTCCGACCTACCTCCTAGACGCCTTTTACTCTGCCATGCATGCCTGAGTTTACATTGTAGCCTTCTAGTCTTATCGAGGTCAGTCGTCCACCATTCGTACCCCCTCAAGCCCCCTGGGGCGAAGCTCCCCTAGGCCCTCCCCCGCGAAGCGGATGATGACCCCTGAGAACTCCTCTGCCAGGAGGGCTGCGGGTTTTTCCACATGCAGCCATCCCATTCGCAGTTTGATTATCGCCTGGAACCTGTTCCAATCCACCCCTCGGTCGCGAAAACGAGGGGGCTCCCTAACGGGTGCAGCGCGCGTGGTCAGCCTGCTAATCTTGGCCGTGTAAGTAATTACGTTGTGGTCGCTGGCGCTGACCTCTTCGCGCTCTGGCCAATTGGCAAGATAAACGTCCCCAGTGGTAAGGGTCAGATCCACATTGGACTCCCCACCAGGCCCAGAGAAGGTGTAGGGCTGGTCGAGCATATTAGCCAGAGTAAGCTTAATATATAATAATGCTTCCATTAGCTGCCTTCGATGTCAACTCTTTGCCCTCTTCCCACGTAATGTCGGCGATCACAATGCCAGAGTGGCGATTGCGCATTGGCGTCGAGGCCCACGATAACCTTTCTGCCCTTTATACAGCTCAGGGCGACCTCAAAGTGATGCTGGTGATCATCGATAGTGTCGCTATATTTAAAATACGTTGACACCACATAGAGGTCCCTTCGGTATACGTGGCACACCACACAAAATTCATTGCTGAGGTGGCTCAGCACAGCTGCTCCAATAGTTGGATCGGCAAGATAGTCGCCCGCCCACGGATGACCGCCCACCTGAACGATCCCCGCAGCCTGAGAGTACTGTTCTTATACAAGAACGATGTCCAAGTGCAGTTCACGCGCCAGGATAGGCAACTCAGCTGCAGCGAGCTCCCCCCGACCCAGGTTAATCTGACCTATTCGCAGCGCTTCTTTGGTTTCTTGGGAGCTGCCTTTACCGGCAACATGGCCACGGAGCATTGCTCTGCATATATCCTTGCAGGGCAGTGCCTTGCCATCGTCACGTGCGAGCCAGAATCTGTTCTTCCAAAGCGCTTGCACGTGGCGCAATTTTCATTCGTTGACTTGCAGTCACCACGTTCGTGGCCTGCCTCTCCACACTTTCCACATACCACCTCCTTTGATCGGCAGTACTTTGCTGGATGCCCATACTGCTGGCACCTCTGGCAGCACGTGACATCCACGTAGTCACATGGCTCAACCACGTCCCAGCCAACGTACAGACGATTATGTCCGACTAGTAAATCCCTTAGGGCAGCCGAACACTGCAGGATGACAGTAGTCTGCCTGCTCCCTCTCCAGGACTTCTTGAAGGCAATCCTGCAGTTTTTCTTGACTTTCGCTTCACTCCACCCGCAAGCAGCTTCCAGAGATGGGAACAGTATTCCATGTGATGCCGAACCTGCGCCTTGTAAAGTTGCAGGCGTTGTGCCGGCATGAAATACTGTCCCGCTCTGCTAAGCACGCCAAGTTTTTTAGAGTTTTGCCAATCAGTCTTCCGTCCTTCCATACCTTGGGGAAGACCCTCTCCCAATTCGGCCTTCTTTTCCAAGTGACAACGAAACTGCACGTCACTCAATATGTCGACGCCGGGGCTGAGGCAACAAGGGGAGTACCTTGAAACTGAGGAGATACGACAAAGGGGTTCCTTATTTATAGCGGTAAATGCACAAACTTGTGTCTTCTGAGGATTAAACTGGTCTAGATTTAGTCGCACCCAATCCGAGACTTTTTCAGATACAAGATTGCTCCAAGGTTGGAAAAATAAGGAATGAATATTTTAAAACAATTTTGACACGTCATTCTAGTTCTTACCGCGTTTTGAGATTTTTTATTCTTCTATACACTAGGTCTTAGCATTGACTAAGACACTATTATGTAAAGGGATATTGTATCTCGCGATCATTTCAGGGATGTCAACATATTTGAATTTTGATCCTTGGATGAAAATAAATGTAGGAGTTTTGCCAATCAGCGATGCGCGACACCAACCATTAACATGGATCGTGTGTTCGTTGATGTTTTATGAACCGCAATGTACTTCAAAGTGACTGTCAATTTGATGTCAACAAAATTAGAGAATAGGCCTGCTGGTAAGACTTGCAGGAAGGATGAATGCAGGTGGCTCAACTGGGTTTTGTGGCATTTTTTGGCGAAGTTATACATTCAGTAGTGAACTTGTGAAGGAATTTTTAGGGGCCATAAGATGATGCTGCTGAACGGCCTGAACATTAAACTCCCGAAATTTATTTTGTCACGGCTTGCCTAATAGTATTTTTAGAACAAACTCTTGGTAGATTTTTTTTAATTACATAGGAAAGTATCGCACATTTTTTGCGTCGTTAATAATAAATACAAAATTGAAAATGTAATTTATGTGCATAAAAACATGAGTAACTTTAATAAGAATAACGATGTTCATACTTAAAGTATTAGGAAAAAACATAAGCATGTAATGCCAGTTACTAGACTCCACCGAATAAGTAATTAATTTATAGGGCAATATATACGCAATTATAACAAAATCCCAGATAATGTTCAAAATTTGTCTCCCTTCCCAGGACAGAGAGAGATATTTCCCGAACCAGTTGTAAATAAATGTAAATAAAAAAACTTTTTATATTTCTATATATTATTAAACTGCGAGAAGTAAAAACCCTCAACCCTCGAAGGAGGCGGAGTTATAGACGAAATAAAAATTTTATTTTTTTGATTTTTGGCCATTTTGACCCCCTAGGAGTGTAATGAGAACATTTTGCCCCTGTTCATCCATGATTCCATGACATCCTCTACATGATAGGATATTTAAACTGACTATGCCTATAGTTCGAGCCACTCCCCAATTTTTTGGTTTTTGGCCATTTTGACCCTCTAGGAGTGTAATGAGAACTTTTTGCCCCTATTCAACCATGACCCCCATGACATTCTCTACATGATAGGCTATTCAAACTGACTAGGCTTAAAGTTAGAGTCACCGCCCAAGTAATTTTTAGTCCTTACTTCCAATTATTGAATAAAACTTATTATGTTTTATTCTATTCTATTCATAAAAAAAGAAAACTAATAAAAGTATATACGACAGAATAATTTGTTATTTTTCCATAATACGTTGACCGATGAAAGGGTCTCAGGCTCAGCCAATTACACTGACCTCGTTCCGGGATCGGATATAGTCGGTCAAGTATTTGCTGCTGAAAATTCTCTATATAAGCCTATAAATGTTTGATCATTGAGTGTAGGAATTTTTATATTTTATAACAAAACACAAAAAAACTATTATCGAACACTATGGAAGTTGACATATATAACGTTAATATGATAATTAAGAATAGGTTCATAATATTTTAGTTTAATTAATTTTTATTTTAATAAACTGTACAATTAATTCAAACAACGCCTTAATCTAAAATTGTCTACAATAACTGGTACCTGAAGTAGGATAAACCTGTATCCCAGTTGTATGAGCTAATTAATACACTACCAAATATTTTCTGTTTCTTATATAAAACAATAACATTCAAACTAATTAGAGTTAATTTAATCCAAATATATTATAGGCTTATAAATGCTATAGTATAGACCATAGCAGCTATATTTCGGTTGTAGCACGAATAGGTTGGCTCAACCTGGTTAGGGCCATGCTCTCACAGAATACCAGCGTAAAATAGCAGCTTAACGCTGCTGTGTTTCGTATGGTGAGTGTAGAGAACCGGAGACCCTTTTTACTGGACAGTAGGCATTCCATCTTAGTCTGCAGGTAAGCACAGTGCGTAAGCAGTCTTAGCAGTCTTAGACCCGTATTAATAAACGTTACTCAACGACGAACTCAAATGCGTAATCATCACGATATCAGCACTTCAAGATAGTTGCTAATTAATAAACACATAAAACAGTATCTCAAAACGCTGTACTTAGGAATACTGTTCTGTGACTTGCACTGAAGTACACACACTTGAGAGTCGAGTTTAGTTTATTAATCAGTGTGTCACTCAGCTGATATTGTAAACCTAAACCGCATCTTAAGATATGTTTATTAATAAGATTATAACCTCAAGATTGTACTCAAGTGCGTGTACTTGAGCTGAGTAACGTTTATTAAAACGGGCCTAAGACTGCACCAGTGTGCATGCATATTTTTGCGACTTGTTTTTCTATAATATTTTCTTTCTTTCTTTCAGAGGTGACAACGCATCTGCATTTCAATTCTTAATCGAGGATAGATGTAGATATCTATGGGTCACAATATCCAGTTACTAACAGTTGGGCTGTGTACTCGCTTGTCACCCTTATTCTATTAAAAAAATCATAAATTAACTTAAAAAAATCTGCAACATTTCCGTATCATCGCATGACAAATTTTGTAACCATGTTCGAATTACATTTTTACAATCTACCGCTTTAAATGGATACAGCTTTTCATAAAACGGTATGGAGTAATGGATATTTTAGTCCGCCATTATACGGTAATGGTTTTATAGTTATTAAATATAACCTCGTAAGGCCCAAGGCAAAAATAGGATGCAACCAAATACTGCCCAATGTTCTCGGTGGAGAACTTAATAAACATAACGCTTACCGCCCAGACCGAAACGAGTTCATTAGAAAGATTTCTAGGAAAGATAGAACAAAACAATTTATGTGCCTCATTTATAACACCCCTTTGAGCATATTTATAAAACTTTTGACGCGATTATTTTTGTTCTTATGTGAAGACATTGGATCGTTGTTGCATTTTACCTAAAGTTTTATTTGTGATCAGATGATGACATTGGTTTTAAGTGTAATAAATAAAAAATATAAAAAATTTCAATTTTATACTTCTTTTACTCCTTATTTAACATAATAAACTAAAAGCGTGCAGCAGCTGGAATTCCGTTCTTCATGATAGTGCCTGTGCAACCAATTCGTCTCTTTAGAAGTTCATTTGCCAATTTTACTGAGGTAAAGTATCGGTCGAAGTAAAAGATGTGTGCTGCTCTCCCAATCCATGGTTTGAATCTCCTAACTCTTAAGTGGTTGATCCTTGATAGATATAAAAATCTGTCACTATTCCACTGGGATTTGCAAGAACAAAGGCTTTCATACCAACTGGGTTTAGTTTTCCGGGGCAATATTGTTTAATTCCACATGCCCCACTAAAAAGCACTATCATTTCGTCAAGAGACATGTGTTTTTCTTATTCTTGTACCTTACATCCTTCTTGAATTCGCTGTATCAAAGGTCTGGTTTTCCATAACTTATCTGCCGTACGTTCAGCTTCACTAACATTGTCGTCAAATACAAATTTGATAGAGCTTCTGATTTGTATAAAGCTGTAACGGGACAGGTTATCCGCAATTATCGCCAATCTCCATTTACTTTCCCAGTATATTCTTATTACTGGATAGTTTACAGAAGCCATAACGAACGTAATCCCGATGTACACGTAAAATTCATTCATATCTGAATTCATGCTTCTTCCAT